GTATTTCCACCAGGGAAGAAATTATTCTAGGGGTATGTGAGATGTCCGGAACCCTTCGAATAAAAAAGTAGCTGCCACAACCACCCAACCAGCACAGAAACAGGACAAAACATGAAAAAGACAATCTCAACCAAATGCTTCTTGCTGAAAAGAAGATGGAAGAAATAGAGGGAAACATGAAAGGTTGGGACATGCTCGGGCCACTTCCCGGAAAGAGCCATGTTGAAAGCCATGTTGAATGCCATCCTGTGAGGTTTCCACTGGGGAAGAAATTATTCTGGTGGTATGTGAGATATCCGGAACCCTTCGAATAAAAAAGTAGCCGCCACAACCACCCAACCAGCCCAGAAACAGGACAAAACATGAAAAAAACAATCACAACCAAATGCTTCTTGCCGAAAAGAAGATGGAAGAAATAGAGGGAAACATGAAAGGTTGGGAACACTTCCAAGAGAGAGCCAAGTTGAATGCCACTCTATGGGATTTCCTGAGAGGAGAAAGCATTCTAAGGGTAGCGGAGATGTCCGGAACCCCTCAAAAAAAACACGACAAAACATGTGACAACCAAGCGCTTCTTACCCTTTTTAGCCCTTACCACGCAAGGCCATCGGATGCTATCGGGAGTTCTTTGGAAGTCATGAAAAGAACATGGACGAAATAGGGTGAAAAATGAATGGTTGGGAAAAAAATCAGGAGAGAACAGGGATTTCCCCAAGAAAGATTTCCAAAGTTGTTTAATGTAGTTTAGGGATATGTAGGGTAGGATGCAGTGTGGGATGGCGCCTTTGAAGCTTCATCCCTTGGGGAAAAAATGATGTATCTGTCCCAGCGCGACACAAACATGTGCAGAACGAATGGTGCCAAACACCATCATGTTCAGCTATGTTCAGCTTAGATACCCTCAGCATATACCTGGAATATTTTCCAGCAAAAGGTTGACATATTGCCAGAATATTTTTGGAAGCAAAATGGCTGGAAATTATTCCATACGTGGGCAACGTATCAGAATACTTTTCCAAAACAACGTTCAACTATAGCGGAATATTTTAAAAATATTCCAAGGGGGTATGGACGGTAGGGGGTATGATAGGAGCTCCCCATCGCCAGGCCACCGCCGCAGTCCGGCGAGCGGAAAGCGCTGTAGCCACCCATGGGAATGGCAGCGAGGGGGCAGAAGCAGCCTATGAGGAGGCAGCCGTGGCGGTGAACCAGTACCTGGATGCAGATGCCATCCTACACCCGCCAACTGGCGCTTCAAGCTCCAGCGCAGCACCTTCGAGCTCAAGTACAGCCCCGGTGGGAAGAGGAGCTGCCAATCTGGGGTTGGAGGTCTACCGCGACTTCCTGCGGACCAAGGGCAAAGGCAAAACAAGCCGAGCTCATGCAGATGCAGCTGCAGATGAAGAAGGATCTGACCCCGAAGCAGACCCTGAAGACGAAAACTATGAAGAGGAGATTGAAGAAGAAGAAGACCAAGGTGATGAAGAGGACTACGTCGAGGTGGAGCTCGAGGTGATCCCTGAGGACGACCTTGGTGGCCATGAAACTGATGGCCATGACGAAGCAGGCCATGAAGCTGTGGGCCGAGAAGAGGGCACGCACGACGGCAATGGCCATGCGAGTGATGGAGAAGAAGAACGCCATGGAGAAGAAGAGGGCGATCCGAACTACAACGAGGAAGAGGAGTTCGCCCATGAAGAGCACAGCTGAGAGAAGCTTTGGGCCTGACTGGCCGTAGAAATTTTCCAAGGCCTAGTGTTTAAGGCCACTAGGCGTACAAGGGGTCTCGTCTTTAAGACCCGGAACTTTGATGGTGGCCTCAGGGATATGAGTGCACTTAAAGTGCCACTCTGATGCAGGCGTTTTGCACCATCTAATAAGAGCAAAGCCTCTGATCTGTCAGCAGGATTTGTCTGCGACAGCTTTTTAGGCTGTAGTTGCCTTTCCCGTGAATAGCGATTTTGGCGGACCGCCAAAGGGGGAGTGCAAAAGGGTTTTCAGAAACAGGCCTTATGGCTATGAACAAGTGTAGTATCTGTACTACAAACTCAGACTGCAGTGAGTAACAACTACTTCTTGCTGCAGGCTTCTTTTAGCCCAAGAAAAACAGGTGCTCACGCTGCTCCGCAAGCACAGTCAAATTGGAATCAATCCCACTATCCTATTGAGCGTGAATACACCATAGTTGTAGGTGTTATATATATATACCCACAAGCATGGGGGTTTTATCTCCATTAGCTCATTCTTGTTCGGCTTATCTTCATCCTGTTTGACACCCTGTGAGGCACTGTGCTGCCAGACGGCATCGCGCTGCTTTGACCATCAGCCGAGCCGCACGAGGATCTACTGGGGGATGGGATAGCCCTCGGGATTCTGAGGAAATCCGCCAAGAAAGATGGAAACATCTGGCAATGAAACCAACAACAACAAACATTTGGAATTGAACCACTTTTTTCACTACATATCAGTACATCACAAAGATAGACTTTTGGACCGGGCTGTTTTTTTTTCCTGAAAAGCTACCTTCAAAGTCTGAAAGATGGCAACATGGAGTAATATGAACACGTGTAGTGAGCGCAGTGTGCTTGGAGGATAGATCAAGTACGGGAGTATCACAAGGTTGGAACCCGCTCTCTGGATATCCAGCATATCTCTCAGAGAAATTAGTTGCATGGTATGTACCATGATCGACATCCTTCAACATACCAATCATCAGCAATACCAGGGGATCTTCCTAATGTTCAGATGGTATCTTTCTTGGGAAACAGACAGCACACCACGAAAGTTTCTAGAAGGCCAATTGTCAGTTTTTTTACAAGCAAATTCTATCTCCCTAATGTATTTTCATAGCATGCCCGGGTACAATATTATTTCATATTATTGAACACTGGTATCTATGTAGTGTGAATTCTTAGCCCTGTGACCTGCGAAGCATCACCCAAATCCCAGGTAAATCATGGTAAATCTACCAGTGATAGAATGGTCAACTGAAGGGATTATGCCAGCAACTCTTGCAATTTATTGGATGTGTATCCCAGGAAACGAGAGTGGTTCATACACGGGAAACCTATTTCCACATTTATATATGGCTTAGTATCCGATTACACATGAGATTGTACAGCTCCGGAAGTGGGCTGTAACTATGGTTACTAGACTGTTCTTGGATAATAAACCATAAACACGTGGGTATATCTCATGTACAACTTGATAAACCACCAGGGATAGATGGCTCATGAAGTTACTTAACTGGTTGGTAAGTCGGTGTTTTCCCCCTGGTGCACTTACTAAAGCTAGGGACAATTAACTCCATGTCCCATGGGTTGTTATGAATTATGATACCAATCCCATAGCTTGGGAAACTGGTTCACGGCACCCCGAGGTGTAGCCCCATGTTGATACCCTATGTACTGGGATCCATGTGCTGGGAATACAATGTGGTGCCCCCCCAATTAGCTAGCTTTGTTTACAATACCCAGGAAATACCTAGGATCTGTGTAGATACATGTATACTTAGATGATCTTAGATGTTTCTACTTCAGCAAACAAACGGAACTAGGGGGTCCAAGTTTGTAAGTTGAATCCATTTGTTTGCCTTTTTTTTATCGGTTAATTTTCCCAGTTGCTGATGGCAGCCAACAAGCTACTACATTGACTACATTGTATACAACAAGGTGCTCACGAGTCATGGATTATCATGGATTATGACCCTGCTTAACCACAGGTTTAACTACTCATAAACAACTTAGCTACTCCCCAATGAATCGATAGATCATTTCGGAACGGAAGAGCCATGGATTTCCTTTTCGCATCTCCATCTCCTGGACTTCCATCGTTTTTAATCTGCAGGAAACCTGGAAAAAGTTTCCCATTTCAGATGCTGGTTTTAGCCATGATTTATAGTGTAGTTCATCCCTCGCCAGGATGGGCCACGGGATTAGCTGGGTTCATTGCTAACCCCACATGTTTACCAATGATAAGTCCTTTATAATTTACTGGTGCTTAGTAGAGAATGAGAAAATCATCCACAATATATAACTATGAATAATAATCCCAGCAACCCCCATTCCCATCCATTCCTTACGTTTAGCACCAGTAAGACAAACTCGTTGAGTAACAAATTCCATCAATGGGAATTTCAGGAACCTAAATTGGAGGTACCTACCATATATAAGGCCTATGGTTCAGGCCTATGTAAGGGAATATCCCCACAAAATATGGCCTTATATGGTACAGTACCTCCATTTTAGGATCCTGGAGATCTCCCATTGATTCCATAGCCCATCCATCGTGACAGGATGGTTGACGTGTCGCTGTCAGCAGCGAGCTGTGCAGCTGGCCGCTGCCTTGAACGCCGCTCAGCGCCGCAGGGAGGAGAGGCGTGCGAACTCGCTCAGTTTACAATCATCATTTATATAGTCTGTTAAACAATTGAAAGATGCTAGATATATATATATATATATTATATATATATATATTATATATATATATATACACACATTTAATTGATAAATGATGGTTGGGCACTGTTGGGCGAGGTTGGTACGAGGTTATACTACCCATTTGCTACCCTGCATACGCATGGCTGGTGACTACAGTCCCTCCATGCTATTGTCGGTGATGACCCACGTTTGTTCCTTCAATTTGGTGTTGTCACTCTGCATCTACACTTTTAATATACTCGAGATCGACCATATTCGGAAGTGGATTATATAATGGTTGTTGACAAGGTCCTTTCACCTATCCGATCGCACCGCATTGAACAATTGCTCAAGCACCCTAGCTGATGCGCTGGGCACTGCCGGAGAACGCGGCACAGATTCATCTTGATTCACTTTTCACCACTGTCCTCGCCAAACAAACAGCAGCTCCTTTTTCATAACATCAAGCCACAAGCTTCGCAATGTTTGCTTGACCCAAAAGGTTGATGAGGGTCATGGACTTGATAAATGGTACCAATGGTTCAACCAAATTTTCGCAGAGCTGCAACTATTGAAAGCGCCATGGTACATATCCTTGAGATGACATGTTGCTCCTGCATTGTGAAGGATCCTTTTGCAAGAGAAGAGAATCCTGGCCAAGTTTCATTGTGTTTGTTTTCCCTCGTGTTTTTCCTCGGATAGCAACCATGGAAAATCTATATGATTATAGATCAATAGATGAATAGATAGATGGATAGATAGATAGGTAGATAGATCGATAGATCGATAGATCGATAGATCGATAGATAGGTAGATAGGTAGATAGGTAGATAGATAGATAGATAGACAGCTAGATGAAGAGATATATATATATACATATATATATAGATAGATGAATATATATATATATATGTATATATATATATTTACATATATATGAAGAGATATATATTTATAGATGAATAAATAAACATAGATGAAGAGATAGATAGTTCAACAGATAAATAGATAGATAGATAGATAGATAGGTAGATAGATAGATAGATATATCGATAGAAAAACCATATAGAAATAAAGAAAGATAGATAGATAATTTGATCGATCGATATATATATATAGATAGATACAGGGAAATATAGATAAATACAAACACATTTGTTTATAGTTAAATATATATGGTTCTGATTTTTATCTTTGTATAGGTGGACAGATCGACAGATAGAAAGATAAACAGATAGAAAAATGAAAATAAAAAAATAACGCAATAAACATGTAGAAAAACAGAAAGAAAGGAGAATAGATACATTATGTTGTATATAAATATTATTGCAACTTCGTTGGATACAAGCAGACACATGGGTGTCTCAAATTTGGGCAGTCAAACAAGATATGGATATATGGGTTGCAATAGTTAACAGTTGAATACTTTGTTGCATCACTGTGGTTCCAACTTAATGGAGGTCGCTCCCTCTAAATTAATGCTGGGTTCCTGCTCTTGCGGCCCGCCGTGTTGGATCGTTTTCGGAGTGGTGCCGTGCTCACTTCAGCGATCCTCAGAGATGCAGTGAAAGAAACCGAGCTGTGATATTCTCTTGGAAACCCTTGCATGATGATGTTGGCCTAGATATCGTAGAGGTCGTGGAGTCCTTTTGGGAAGATCCTGACATTTTTTTTTTGAGAGGGCCTTTCATGAAGAGGTTGAAGATATCGTCTTCTAGGTTCTTGGGTGATTTTTTTTTTGGGAAACTTTCAGAGGTTCTTGATGGTTCTTGCCGAATTATTTGTAAGGCCCTTTTGCATACAGATCTTGAGAATATCGCGTTATAGGCGCTTGGGATGCCATAAACAACTCTGAGAGGTTCTTGTTTCAAGCTCTTGTCAGTCTTGTCAACAAATGTTCTCCTCAACTGCTTGGGGTCTCTCCAACGGATCCAACGGTCATTTACGGAGGGTGGAGTTTCCAATCCGGAGGATTGGTAGCTATGCTGAATTGGGGGCCTCCCCAGAAGAAGACCTCGAGAACGGGCTCTTCGCAGATGAGTGGCTTGGAGGATTCCCATGATCATCCTTCAGGCCCATCTGGTTGAAATCCCCATCATTGTTAATAGCGAAATTGATGGATCAGACCCTCAAGCTATTTTGTTGTTTACATCTCGTTGTGACAATGTGTGTATGACAACTTGTACATCCCCATGTGGGTTTGTCTGAAAATGATATCATTCTGCCCCTTTTAAAGGATACCAAATGACACAATGGAATACAATGGATATATAAATGGCTAGAATCGTTTGTCTCATCCCTTCAGCACAGGTTTTCCTGATTTATTGGGGATCATGGACTGAAATTGATTTATTTACGGGAATATTGGGGATGATTGGCGATGATGTAGACCTAATTTATTCAAATAAATATAGGACCTATCCTAATGAACCACTCGAACGTGGTAAGTTTTTTTTGGGTGTGTTTTTTTCCAGGACATCCCAGCATGTTTTCACCTAATTGGAGATTGCTGCAGTGACATTTGCCATGGGAGAAACTTGGGTGAGTTACCCATATTGGGGGATAGACATCAATCCATGTGCAATGGCATTTATACCCCCATGATGTTTGGATTCCCATTCGGGACCGATCAGTTAACCGTACCCAATATACCATCTCATGCAACCTGACCATGGCATGTATCGGTTGTTATATAGTCTTATCATTGCATATTTTTCCATGTGTTTCACCTATAATTATATTTAATTAGGTGCGCATGTTGTTTTGAATAATTTCAGAGTTTCCATTGTCCATCGAAAATCTTGGGTTGCAGTCCCATTAACCCAATTCAATAACACTTGCCATTTGTCCTGAAGGTACAAATCCAATGTGTCTTTTTCAAGAATCATGGTGATTTTCATTTTCCCAAGATCTCTTGTTCAGAAACAAGAACAGGTATGTTGTTGTTGTGTTTGTTGTATGTTGTTTGTTGTTTATTGTTTGTTGTTTGTTGTTGTTGGTTGTTGTTGTTGTTGCTGTTGCTGTTGGAGTTGTTGTTGTTGTTGTTGTTGTTGTCGTTGTCGTTGTCGTTGTTGTTGTTGTTGTCGTTGTTGTTGCTGTTGCTGTTGCTGTTGCAGTTGTTGTTGCAGTTGTTGTTGCAGTTGTTGTTGCAGTTGTTGTTGCAGTTGTTGTTGTTGTTGTTGTTGTTTTAAATTATTCTAAGATCATAGCTCTTGCTTGATTGAGATGGGGTTACTTATCGTAACACTGCTATTCTATGGGTTATTGAGTGGCGAATTATCACTTTAATTTATGAATTATCCAGTACTATTCACTGTTTTTCTTCTTATTCACCATTATTCATTATCATTATTTACTATTATTGACTATTATTGTTTGCTTTTATTGCCATTATTATTCACTATTTATCATCATTCCCCATTGATTGTTCATTGATTACTCTTATTCACTATCCTTGATGACAAACATTATTTGTTGTGATTTGAAACATCACTATTAATTGACTATTGTTCATTGATTACTTGACTATTATGATTGATCATTCACTATTGATGATTATCGCACAACTTCATTATTCACGCTATTATTCTTATTTACTGTTGATTACTGATTACAAATCACAAGTGTTCAAATCAGTTCATTATTTTCATTATCTGCTTATTATTGATTAATTATATCCACTGTTGAGTATTGATTACAAACCTGGTGTTTGTTCACAATTACTCATTTTATTGATCATTCACCATTGGTTCTGGATTGCCGCTTATTATCTACAACTATTCATTCAATTGCTGTTGGTTCTTGATTACAAATCACAATTGTTCAAATCACTTCATGATTATCCCATTGCACTTCATTACACCATCATTGTGTTCATTCTTCGCCATTATTGATTACACATCGTGAATACTGAAGTTGTGCGTCAATCATCAATAGTGAATGATCAATCATAATAGTCAAGTAATCAATGAACAATAGTCAATTAATAGTGATGTTTCAAATCACAATGAATAATGTTTGTCATCAAGGATAGTGAATAAGAGTGATCAATGAATAATCAATGGGGAATGATGATAAATAAATAGTGAATAATAATGATAATAAAAGCAAACAATAATAGTCAAGTAATCAATGAACAATAGTCTGAATCATAATAGTCAAGTAATCAATGAACAATAGTCAACTTCATGAGTGGTGTGTGTTTTTTTTCAGCACTCAGGTTGCATCTCAGTCCGGACGGCATTTGCTCCTTGTGGCGCAGCACGCTGGAGGCGCCCACTTCTCCCACCATGATGCGTGGTTCGGTGTTGGCCGCACCGCTGACGCACAACTTGCACAGCTTGAAGCGGCGCCTGGGACATGGACAAATGGATGAAAAATGGAAAACAATTGAAGAAACATGGAGAAACATGGGGAGAATATAGCAGTATACCCATTATTCATTATTGTTCATCATGATTCATCATCATTTTTCTGATTTTTGTGCGAATTTATTGGGATTAATATACCGGAGAAACATGGAGAAACATGATGGAAACTGGAGAAAACATGAGAAAAAATAAAATTATACCATGATGTATTCCATTATCCTGGATTTATTGGGATGTATTAGGATTATGGCATTAATATATCCATGATCCTGAATTTATTGGGGATTTAATAGGGATGTATTGGGATTGATGTAAAAGAACATAGGGTAATATACCCTCTGCTAATTTAAGGTAGCGACCTGGACAATCACGTTTTGTTTTTTTTTGTTTTTAAGACAGGTAAATCATCATGTTTATCATCTATTTCTATGGACGATTTTGTATAACTACTAGGTATGTTAAATCACCAGAGAGTACCTTGAAAAACGCAGGAATACCTGTGTCTGTGTATGGTGGTTTGGTTTATTTTCCAAATAGGACATCCACTTATAGGGAACATGTTTTATGTTACTTGGTAACATATTGACTCCTGAAGTCAAATATACCCATGGGTTTCCCATATATTCTCATGTTTTCCATATAGGGAATATGTGACTCCTGAAGGAAATCCGCAAATATACCCATTGTGACTTGCTACTTTTGCACATGTTTATGGGTACTTGGAGGATCTAAGGAGTGGCTGCAGTCGGGAATGCCGAACGATGTTAAAACATGCTTGCAACTGGCAAGGTTATGACTATCACCAGCCAATGTAGCAACTAAATGGAAAATAAACATTGTCATTATAATCAGACAGTCTAAACATGACATGATGGGAAAATCATGAGAAGCAGCAGCAAATTTTGACTGAAAAGTAGTAGGTTTTATGGGCATTGACCCTTCCATGAAAAATCCTCTATTGTACATAGTATGCTGGATGTGTTTGATTCCACTGACGCACCTATCGTTAAACGATTTTTTGCTTCGAGCTTTGTTTTGCTTTCCACGTTTAGAGCCTGTGTTTTTGTTGCGTCTTCACTAAGGACACTGATCAAGAGAGGTACATATTCCGTCAGCCCATCTGGAATTGTTGCTACTTGGGCGGATGGTACGTCAGAGACCTTTGAGGGAAAGATTGGCGTTTAGATTTCCCAGATGAGACTGGGTAGGTGATTTGTCTCGACAGCTCTGACATGCTGGATCAAACTTTGGTCGATAAACTTTCGCTACAACATAGGGAAGTAAATATATGAATAGACTGGCCAGCTGCGAATCATTTGTTTGAAGGATTTCTCAAAGAATCATGTTGAAATTAGCAATGAATCTCTTGGGATCTTGTGTTTGAGCAATCCTCTGCCACAAATCCACCGTTAAATGGTGTTTTTCTTGATTCAACTGATCGGCCTTCGGAACATTGTAACATGTTTTGTGGACAGACTCAGACTTGATTGATGTGATTCAACTCCTAACACCCGGATTTGTTTAGATTAGTCAGCCATCATTTGCAGTCATGAGAACCATGGAGAACCCAGCTGCTAGCTCTGAGACCTGCGGAAAGAGCGTTCTTTTTGCGCCGCAAAGATCACCCATTGCTCCGCAAAAAACAAAGGGTTTGAAACCTCAGTTTCGTTGAATTGTTCATGGGGAAATTGAATCGTTTCACGAATCTGAAATGTTGAACGATTTGGGGATGATTGCCCATATATAAACCATGATTCCAGTGAGGGAAAACAGTGAGGTTACTATAATTTACCCATGCAGATTGTCTTTTATCCACAAGTTGATGTATACGTGACAAGTCGGGCGACATGCATCGTGGGTATCATCAAAGCTTCGGGCTTGTTTCGGATGCTGCATACATACAGTTCCGATTCTACTGTACAGGGCCTATGATGGTATATCTGCTTTAACCATCACCAGCAAGAAGTGTTTCTCTTTAATGCCAACAATACTTGATATACAGTACATTCTGCATAAACATGAACATCGCGTTTCCCATTCCATAAACTTCTGGACACCGCAGTACGTTGATATCACTGCCGTCATGGTTTAGCATAGGATTATATGGGATTGGTACATGGATGGGTGATAGTGATGTTTTAGCAATGAATGAGGGATTTTCATGCCCAGTTCAACATCCTCCTGGTTGGTGCAAAGATGCCTCCTGTTCTTTTCGTTCCATGATCCACCTCAATTACGAACATATGTTCCAGGAGTTCGAAAACTTGGATGTTGGACAACCATGGTCCGTTTACACAAGGAGTTATACCTTGGATAGGCAGTACCCGTTTGTTTTTTTCCCGGACATGTACAATGTACAGGTTGGAATCCTATCATAAGACACCTATACAATATAATATGATCAAATATTAAATATGATCAATATTACCTATACATTCTTCATACCTTAGATTTTTGATATAGGAGCAAAGGATTTCTATAACACTGTTATTTATTTATCAGATACCGATATTAAAAATATCAATTTGAGTTCAGGCTATCTGACAATCTCATTGTGTCTTGAACAGGTGATCAAGGTGATCATCCGCAAAGTTTCAGGAGTTGTTAGTTGGCATCATAGCTGTGCAGCTGAGTTTGTTCATAACATGTTATAACTAGGTTAACAAACTCAGCTATGTTAAATATATCCAAACTATGGTAGTTATCATGTTATATACCATAACATAGCTGGTTGATGGTATATATATATACCATGATATATCTATGATAATTAATGATGGTATGTGATCCAACTGATAAGTTTGGGGTCCCTACCTTGTAGCTGTAAACACCAACTTGCCTATCAGTGTGTGCACCTCATTGTTGGTTGTATATTTGAGCAGTATCCAGCATTGATATGCGCCTTCCCATCATATGAACCATCTTTATCATCTTCCCAGACCCTCCAAATACCCCAAAACATGGTAGAAGTACTAAGATGCTGAGGTAAAGTAAGCATTTTTAAGTTTTATGGGTACTTGGAGGGTCTAGGTGTCTTCAATGTCATGAAAGATTCAACTCTTCTATAAATTGATCTTGAAATATACAGAAGCGGCCAGCACCTTCCAGAGTTTTTGCCCTTTTGTCCACTCGATGAATGGTGCATACTGTGGTAAATCCAATGATTACCACAGCAGTGGCCAGCCAGAACGGGCACAGAAGGAGTGCCCTGTGGGGTGACCCGCGTCACCAGCCATGCATGAATCCGTTTGATGTATAGGTTTGGGTCATTTGTGGCATATTGGGGGGTCAATTTTCTAAATATTCAACACAATCAACATGTATGCAGGATTAGGCGGGCTGTGATACTTTGAATTTCACCGAATGAATGCTTCTTGCACTACCTACATCTTGGGTGTGATCCATTTACTAAGTGGAGTGAACCGCCAAGGAATGTTGTTATTTTTGTTCAATGCTGCCAGAATCCTACAATATGGTTTTTGTCTTCGAGGTATCACCAATGCTTCAGAGGCCCCAAAGTGTCCTGGGAAAAGCCACAAAGCCACGTGTGGACCTAATATGTCCTCAGCCAATCTACCATCTGGTTATTTAACATAACACACTAGAAAATCACCATTGTTAATGGGAAAATCCACTATAAATGGGCCATCTATACCATGGCTATGTTAGTCATAACCAGAGGGTAGGCCTTTTTTCCCAAACGGCTCCATTTCGCATTCAGCTCATGCTCGGGGAGCCCCCAGGGGGCTCTATGTAGTAATGTTGTAGAGTGGTGCCCAGTTCTCAATTGGATTATATATATATATATATGTATACATATATATATCCTCCTCGGTATATATATACATGTACCATACTCCGGCCCATATTCAGTTAATAGTAGCTATGAATCAAACTATCTAGCGAACTGGGGCTCTCTGTATTGTTGAACCATCGCCCGGATAAGATAGTTCATAGCTATCGGATCGTGTCATGGCGCAACCTGGCCGCTGCGCAGCAGCTCCAAAAGTCTTCAATCTGATTGATCGGTTCAAAGTTTGTTTCTTGATGTGGGCCTTTCTGAAAGAGGGTATACCACCAAAATTGTGCCTAGGCCCTAGGATTTTATTCCCCAATGACGCTTGCATTCGTGGGTAGGTGCCCCAAAACCCATCAGGAAAATGAACCAGGACAAGCAGGATCCCGGCATACGGCACCATTTTCATTCCTGAAACGTCAGCAACTTTCCATATCCAGATAGTGAGTGTCCAGCTGAAATTTGACAGGCAAGCCACATGATTTATTGAAGGCTTAGAATCGGCTTGGAAGGCTTACCTACAGGGTTAGCTTTGATTCCCTAGGCAGTGAAAAGTTGTTGTTTGATGATCGCTGTGTGCAGATCAAAAGAATTAACGAGCAGCGCCTGATGTCCTGGTTTGCTTATATCAGGGGAAGTCTGCTGATGGATCTTGACTGGGTAAACGTAGGTTAATAGGTCGTTTGAAGACATGTTCAGCGATTTTCATGGGGGAAGAGTTCATGCCAAAGTATGCCAAAGTAGCATCTAAGATTGGATGACTCAGAAGCTTTCAGAAACCATCACTCAGTAATTTACAGGCTACTGGGGTGATCTCGTGTTGTTTCCAACCCATATCGCCATCAGAAACGAGCCAGGCCACTGATTAGTTTTTCAATGTTATTTAGCTACCGAACTAATCCTAAGATATCCTAAGTTGTTATGGGTCAAAATCCTGTTAATGTATGACTGGTTGGTGGTTTGGAACATTTGGATTATTTTTCCATATATTGGGAACAATAATCCCATTTGACTTTCATATTTTTCAGAGGGGTTAAAACCACCAACCAGCTGTTAATGGATGATATTCCCTGATATTCTCCAAAATCCAAAATACCCATCCCCAAGTACCCAAGCCCAGCCGCGCACCTTGCGCTGCTCGCCAGGCGTCTGCAGCTCTGCTTCCATCAGTGGCTACAGCGACTTCACTCGCGACGACGCTGGGAGTTGCGATCCGAGAGCTGCGAGATGCAGTCGAGCCACTGGGCAGCTGAAACTGTGTGGATTTCACCAAAACATAGATCCCAAAGTATAGATGTACAAAAAAACACACACTAAAAGCTGGAGTTACCCATTTGTGGACAAGTTGTCGTATAGGCAGAGGACATTCCTTCATGGGCAAAGGGACGGGTGACCAACTGGCAACTTTGAGACAGGGTTGGACGTAAAAACACCAAAGACATACACATAGTTGTATAGTTAGTAAGACATACACATGCACACACCATACCTATTTGGGTGCATTATACCGACTGCACTGGTCCACCAGGGCTCAGACATGAAGGTTATAGTGAAGGATATTGGAGGAATAATGATCACGATTTCTTGTAAAACCTACTTGGAAAGATGCCACATGGGTTTGGCATGGTTTGGCCAAGCAACTCAGTTGAACATGACTTTGTCCAACAGCAGAGCCTCTGGGCAATCAACACGGATTGCTGGAACTTCATTTAGCGTGATGAATTGGGCATTAGAATCTCCAGTTAGTTCGAGTATTTCCCAGCGATGTAGCTGATTACCGAAAGGTGTATAAGATTATAAGGCTATAAGGTGTTTGGGCATAAGCTGCCAGAAAATCCGGCAAGGTTTGCGTGGTATATGCCTGCATCTTATTGGTCATGAGCTATGCAACAGGCTGCCATGGTGTTAAAAAGCAAGAATTATGGCACGGCCCAAAAAAAAATGCCAAAACAGTTGGACACCTGGACATCGCCCAGAAAGCATCATCGAACTATCATCCTAGAAATACTGTCCTATCTTTTTAAGGGGTTACCCTCCGGTAAACTAACATAGCTATTGAAAATGGCCATGTTTCATTGGAAAATCAACTATAAATGGCAATTTTCAATAGCTATGTTAGTTTACCAGAGGGTAATAGGAAGCCCTGCTACCTCAGTGAGTCGATTGCGGCAGCCCTTTTGACATGTGGCCGAGCCTCGCCTCGATGGGCCGAGGCGTGCTGAGCTCGCAGCACGCAGCTTTCTGGGAACTCTTTCCAGAGTATGGCAAAGGAGCTGTGGCACAGGCGACCTGCGACATGGATTCAGCCAGGGCCACGACTCATAGCCATTCTGAATGGGGCCTTGGGGTTGCTACAGTATGGCTATTAGGTATAACTGGTTATAAATTG